AAACTAATTCGTTCATTGATGTACAGGGAGTGTAACTTTGAAATTAGTTTAATTGTATAAAAGAATTAGAACTGATAGATCATTGAAAAGAATATAATCAATGCAATGATCAAAGCGTGATGTAGGATTTCAATACGCTGGGATACATCGCTTAAATAAAACGTAGAATATATACAATACAATACTTTGTACTTTTTTGTTGAAATTAAAATCAATATATCTATATTAATAAAATTCTCCTGTCGTGGTGTTAGATAGAGAACTCCTCCGAAACGGCGTGACCGATTTTGATGAAATTTTATGAGCATATTGAGTAGGTATGAGAATCGGCCAACACCTATTTTTCATACCCCTAAGTCATAAGAGTTGTTCACCCTTAATTTTTTTTTCGGACGCAATTTTTTTTATTTTTATTTTTTTTAATGTAGCATTAAAAATACATACAACCCATTTTTTTTTATCACCAACCCTTATTTTTTATGACAAAACAACGATTGCGGGGTCAGCTAGCAGCCTATAGAGTCCAAATGTCCTAAAATAATCTCGCAGGTTAAAGTCCTGTCATAATATTAGGTTACTCAATTTTGAGAGCATGTATTTGATTATTACTTATATATATGTATGTATGTCTATATAGAAGTTTATACATAATCTCTGAACATCAATATTGAATCAGTAGGACAAAGCTTGTGTAATAAGGTCTCCAATGCTGTATGGGGTCGTGGTCACATACGATTCATTAATTTTCTGCGCATTCCCGTACATAACTTCGACAATATTAATTACTTTACATCTCAAGAGCATAAGGCATTTACATAACATTTGAATAATGCATAAAAATACAACCGCATAAAATTTAAATAAACATTTTGCGTATAGCTATTTGCATTTTGTGAACGTCGGGGAATTCGTATAATTAGATCTTAATTTCAATTGTCAAAACTGTATACTAAGAGAAAATTAAGGAATAAGATTTATATATCATAAAATATAAAGATTTTTTATAGTATCACTAATACTATAATTTTTTTTAGAGACTTGACAAATGAAATAGGCCATGTTTTGGTGACGTAGCGACATCCACGCAAGCGAAACTTGGGGCCAAAGATAATATGAGTAATGTTTGAAATATTCTTTTTGATGCTTTCGTTTGACAAACCTCTCCTTTGACTTTGAAAAACTTACCAATACATTTATTCTAAGTTTCTATCGTCACAGTAAAGGAGCTTTACACGTTTTTAAATATAAATCTTCGTATATCATAATATTAACGTAGGTTATTGAAGAAGAAACGAGCAATGCTTCGTATATAGTGACGATGCAAACCAAGAATAACAAAGAACTAATATCTAAAGGTGTTTATTTCAAACAAATTTCGATAAATATTATTAATATGCATTAATTTTTTGGTCTCTATTTGAAAAATGTACATAATTTCACCGTCATCAGCCTATCAGAGCCCACTGCTGAGCAAAGGCATTTTTCTCTATATGAGAACTGAGAAGGTTTGAACATTAATCACCACGCTTGCTTAAGACGGGTTGGTGATTTCAAACTAATAATATTGAAATTATAAGTCCAGGTTTCTTCACGGTGTTTTCCTTCACCGTCTGTCAGTGATGTCTAAATACTTTTAGAAAGTACATATGACTCGGAAAAATCCCATTGGTTCTTGCCAGGATCGAACCTGCGCCCTCGTGCATGAGAGGCGGGCCCTTTAACCACTAGGCCACCACTGACTTTTATAATAATTTTAAGGAACTGTAATAATTATAATTCGTCTTTGTTTCGTATATTTTAGCAGGTGTATTTTTGATTTTTTAATATTATATTTCTGTTTCTGTATATATATTGTATTGAGTAATGTTGACAACATCTTAATAGAGATGTAATCCACGTGCGCATTACTTCAAAGGGCAAGTGAAACTGTGATGACACTGTCTTCATTGTTGTTGCTAAATGTCAAAGTTTATGTTGGCTTTATGGCTTGTGAGTTACGGATTTGAGTATGAAAAAAAAATTTAAATGTCTATGGTGAAGCCTCAAAGGAGGTTCTAGTTTTTATATAAGTTGCGTTAGTTTATTTTTAGAAATAAATGATAAGGTGAAAGAAGATGTAATTGGTAATGTTGAATTTAAACGATGAGTTATAGAGACCGTTTTCAAAAATATGTATAAAACAGAAAAAACAACAAAGAAATATATCAAACGTTGTATTAAAAAAAGAGGTTGAGACAGAGGAGTTTTAATAAGTTTTTTATGCACATGCAAATTTTTTTAAATATGTATGTATATATTTTTTATTATAACGGTAATTTAAAAAGACAATATTCTTGACGTGCATTTATACGGCTTTTATTAATAGTTTTTTTTTTTTAATCAGAAAATCTCTAATATTGTTTACACTTTGCCAGTTTTAACGATATCGTAATATATAATATGCTAGTATAGTATAAAAATTATGTAATTTATTTACCCTGAAATTTCAATTTAAACCTTTATTTTCTGTATGGTTTAGTTTTATTCTTAAAGTACATTTTATAATGACATAGATTACAATATGAAACAATAACTCTTTTGAAATGTAGTAGTGATTTTGTTGGTAACGATGCTAATGGTTTGAATTGAAGCTTATCGTCATAAAAAATAATATTGTACATAAGATATGACACACTTGGCCTAAATTTCAATACTTTGATGTTTCCTCAGAACACGACACATCAATGTTTATTGTCACGTTACGAACTATTAATTAAATATTAGTAATTATTTATATTTATATAAAATTTTATCTTAACCAAAATTTAAAATAAAGTTTTGCAAACAAGTTCAAAAAAGTCATTAATTTTTGTAGTGTCAAATAATAATCATTGATATTTGTGGTGAGTATGTACAGAAAAGGTTTTTTGATTGACTTTCAGCTTTTTTGTTATAAATATGTAAAAACATTACATTAAATATACCCAAAGTAAAAACATACTTTCTGTTCGATGCAACTTAATAATCCATAAATGATTTTAAATGTCGTCATTATTCAGTGAGTTTCAAGAATAAAATAATACAATAGTCTGTGTGAATATTTAATATAATCTGTGTGAGGCTTTTATCTCAGCTGTCATTGTCAATTTATTTGATTAAACTTGAAAGTTACGAAAATGGAAGCTCTTTATGACTGACGACTGACTCGAAATTTTTACTTTGTTACTATCTATCGTCAAATAAATATGGATAATTTTGGATTTCTAGTGATATTTCGCAATTAATTTAAAATCTGTGGTCGTAATATTTTCAATAATTATTATCGGTAATAAAATATATTTATTTGAGTAATGTTATATTATAATTAATTAGCGGATAAAGATATAATTACTATAAAGATAAGTTTAATTGGTGCAATAATTCATTATTTATTTTATTGAGCAATTTAAATGCATGCGCCATTATGGAGTATAAAACATTATTTTGTTTAATATCGAGTGGTTTTTAGTAACTCAATTCTCGTTAATTTTAAGATTACAAATCTTCTTTATACAGCCGTGAGCGCGTGTAACTATGTCAATAGCATTTTTATGAGTTTTTGTTACATTCACAACGAAATAAGTTTTGTAACATCAAATTAATAAACCTTTTGATTTGATATTGACTATAAAATAATATATATACGTATCAATAATATTTAAGTGTTTATCTGTGACTTACTTTTAATATTAAAAACATATGCGACCTTTTTGAAGTTATTATCTATCTGGTTGTACGGGAAATAATTTAAATCGGATTTAATAGGACGGATACTGTGAGATTATATTTTATGAGAGATTTGTAATTTATATTTCCTAACACTATTTTCTTAGCAAAACCGATTTCATTATTATTTATTTATTTTTTGTGATGTGAAAATTAACAAAGATTTCGAAACTTAAATATTAATACCACGGATTATAACAAAAACACGCAAAAGGGATTATATGAGAATGATTTAACATTAACAGCCTCCTCTATTTCGTTTAACTTTTTATCAGGCACTCGTCTGCTCATACACTTAATAGAGGGATGTTAATTAATAATACTCTTTAGATGGGTCTATTATAAAAATATATGATGGAAGTGAACGATGTATAAGAAGGCCCGGAATGCTTGATTACAGAATACGAACAGAATTAAATACGAAGTTAAAGAGATCTAAGACTATCGCGAATATTCATTTAAATGAACCAGTGATCACGGTTGCTGCAAAGTAACCGAAACGTCTGAAGTATGTAGTTTTTTAAAATAATAAAATACTCGTAGTAATACGAATAATATTATTTTCATTTAAACTAATCTCAAAGCACATGAATTGATGACTAATAATTTTATTACATTATTAACATATTGAATATTATAAATGTCAACGGGACTTTTTATAATAATTTTGACATTTAATATTTATTCAAATGTCAAAAACATAAAGGATATTATGACTGATAGATTTATTGTATCTATGTATACATATATTGTCTATGATTTTGGGATTCTCTTTATCTAATTTTTTATAACAAATGAACAGATCTTTACAATAATGGTAATTTTTGTAAAAAGTTTTTATTGAATATCTATTTTTTGAATATTTTTTCTTTTTTTACTTATAATGTAATAAATCCTCTAAGTCCATACGTTTGTTAGTTGCCGCCTTATCTCTCAAGCGTCACGTCTGTGTTCAGTCGTGTTCACTTTAATTGAACATTACATTGCAAGAAACCTTGCAAAATTGCAATTCCTCACCAGTTAGTACTGATGATACTTTGTTACGACGACTTTGTTGAACTAGACGACTTTGTCGATATATTCGACCACTTTGTCGACACATTCTTAGATTATTTGAAAATACACAGACTAATTAATAGATATTGAAAGAAATATATGTTTGATGTTTAAATATGATTCAGATATAAAATTTAACAATAATAATTACATAGATCGGTTACTGAGAAAAATATAATCGTTATCAATTTTCTTTGTAGACTTCAAGCGCTCTTTTCACGCTTGACAGCGCTCGCGGGGAAGAATTAGCAAGAAGATTGGCTCGTGGGCAAAGAACAAGAAGAAGATGTAGAGCAGCACTTGCCCTAGTGGCGCTGCTGTTGCTGCTAGCGGCAGTTGGCGCCGTGGAACTACTCATGTCCAGGGGACAGAGAATGTTTGGAGCGGTCCTTAGATGAACTTGTAAGTGCAGCAACTCATGTTACTTTTGCAGCAACGCATGTTACTTTTGCAGCAACGCATGTTACTTTTGCAGCAACGTATGTTACTTTTGCAGCAACATATGTTACTCTTGTAGCAACGTATGTTTTATTGTATACTAATATCATTTATAACTAGTATTAAATCTTAAAAAATAATTATGGAATTTATTTATATAAATGAGATATTTTTGACATATCTTTTCCTTTTATATTTTATTAAAATATCTTGGTATAAGATATTATTGCAATAATAAGTTATCTTATTTTTCAGTACGCTTCAAATTCGTCCAATGATATACAAATAGAGCGTCACAAAGTTTATATGTCAAGTATTCTTTAGTTTTATTATAAATCTGTTTCAATAAACCATTATTTAATATTGAAACACAAATTTAACTTAACTCGTGGATTGTTAAGTCGCGAAATTTATTTAATATTTCATTTAGTAGTTTTTAAAGTCTTTTATTAGTTATATGCATTATGTATTAAGAAAATTATTAATAAAATACGCCTCATCACAGGTGCGAATCCTGACAGTAATTTTTTCTTTTGTACTATTATAAGTATAAGAAATCTTATTTATTTTAAATAATGATGAATCTCCTTGTATCGACTTATTACTCTATGGATATATGTCAAATATAATTTTATTATCTAAGAACAAAAATAGGTATTGCTTTTGACATTTGTGTCAGATATTTTGTTAATTTTAAGACAAAAAAAAGTAAATACCATTGTAAAAATGTATAATATATTAGCCTTTAAGTCGCATTGTTTTCTGTTCAAAATAAAATAAACCGTTTTAAATTCTGTGGATGAATTAATTCTTCATTAGCATGGGAATACTGGGGTCGCAAAAATACAATTGAAAATTAATTGAGTGGTTTTAAAAATTACCAAAATGCTTACACCAAGTTTGCATCGTGATACTACGTACGTAGCGTTAACAGTATTTCATTCAATAATATTTTTACATTTTAGTATTAACGTTAATTACTGAACAAGAAACGGTTAAGTCAATGGTGGCGTAGTGGTTAAAAGGCCCGCCTCTCATGAATAAGGCGCGAATTCGATCCTAGCAAGTACCAATGTGATTTTTCCGAGTCATATGTACTTTCTAAGAGTATTTAGACATCATTGATTAATGCATTCCCAAAGAGGGTTAATGTCAGGCAGGCAGCCGGTCGTAAAAACAATTAGCCAAAACTATTCACAACGTGTAAGGCAGACCCTGGCTAAGGCTGGGAAATTGCCAGGTAGAAGAAGATTGAACGAGAAACGGTAAACGCTTCGTACGTAGTGTGATTATCGTAATAGATAGTAATCAATGTATGCACATTTTAGTACGTGTAAATTAAAACAAATCTTTTATATTGACAGTCTTTTTGAGGCGTATGGTTATTAAACACCATTATAATTTTTTCTTTGTTTGTTTTTAAGTTCGATATTTTCTTAATTACAATATATTATTTTATTACAAGTTTAGCGTAAACATATTTATGGATAAATCTTTTAGATAAACTTTGCATTAAGTTTAAATTGTAGTCCCAAATATGTCTAGTGTTTTAATTATTTAGAAATAAATTTTAGTAGATAAAAAATTGTATCTTATTGCATTGTAGATAATTTACCAAATACTGCCATGAAATTATCTTATATATATTTCTTTGTCTAAAACAGTTTGATATTTTGTTAATAAATGTTTCTTGGCTGTGTTATAAAAGTTTATAAAACACGATTCTTTATAGTTATAAGTATTTTAATGAACATTTTATTTTTATTAATTACTTTATGTTACGATGACATGTTATTGATAAAATTGATACGTGTGTGTGTCTGTACAGTGGGAGAATTAAACGAAACGATTTAAGAACAAAATAAGTATTATATTTCTCCTTAGCGGTTACCAAATATTTTTAATTCATTAAAAGGTATAACAATATAAAGAAATGTATACACTGATTCACATAATATTATTATTGATTGAAAATTAATTATACATTTACATTATCAAATTCACAATACAATGCATTTATAAGAAAATAATCTAATAATAAAATAAAAATGTCACAAATGTCGATTTAACTAGTTAAAACAGAATGTCATATATATGTCAATTATTTGTATATATGTAGTATTTACATCAGTCTTCAGCGAATAACACTTCGTCAATTCTTTGGTCTAATTCGTCCATGGGGACCTCGTCTAACACTTGACACTTGAAGGCAACGGCTAAAATCTGTAACAATATTATATTGTATACTAGCTTTCCGCCCTCAGCTTCGCCCGCGTGGAGTTTGGTTATATCGCGTTACCAAGAGAACATTTCAAAAGTGTGGGATAAAAACTATCCTATATTTTTTCTCAAGGTCAACTCTATATCTGTACCAAATTTCATTAAAATCAGTTCAGTGGTTTAGGCGTGAAAGCGTAACAGACAGACAGAGTTACTTTCGCATTTATAATATTAGTAGGTATGAATACGAGATATAAATCTCGTCTGTCCGTAATCCCGGTTGCTGCAAAGTAACCGAAACGTCTGCAGTATGTAGTTTAATACAATAACAAAATACGTTTAGTAGTCCCGGAAATATTAAATTCATTTAGTGGGATTCATTAACACAAAAGTAAATAAGTGCAATAAGCTGAACATTTTTTGTTCTCCAGATTTAAGTATTTAGTCATGACCAGTCTCAAGGATATTTATTCAAGGAATATCCTGACGGTGTAAGGACTACATAAGTGTTATATTCAATAAGTTTCTGGTAAAGAAAACGTTCTAACAAAACCCACTCAGTCATTCCAAAGAAAATTTCAATTAATGATATCATTAAAAGAACCAAGGCATTTAAAAAGGGATTACCATATTAGAAATAATCGTACGCATTAAAAGTGTTATTTTAAAACTTAAAGACACTATTTGTTAATGGTAAACAATAAAGATAGTAGCGCCATCTGTTATCGAATTGAAGTGTACTATATTATTTCATAGATAGTTTCGTAATACATATATCTTTTTTCATAAGATTAAGGTGATTTCTTAATATATATGTTCTCTTTAAATCTTTGGTATCCCAAACACTTAAAGCAAAAAGACTTTCGACATTCCATATTGAGTTTAAGAAATACAAGATCAAGAACAATAATCGTTGTATCTTACTTTAGGAGCTGTTTCAGGGTTGGACCGGAGGTTGGTGATGTATTTATCATAGTAGCCTCCTCCGTGTCCCACGCGACCACCGGACTTGGAGAAGGCAACGCCAGGGGCTATAATGAGGTCTAAACCTGGAACAGAGAGCATAATATTATTCATCATCAGCCTATCAGAGCCCACAGCTGAGCAAAGGCCTCTTCTCAAATGTAACATCTGTCATTAACTATATGTATAAACAAGATATTTATTGTGTATTAAACTGAGAGTAACCTTTCTCTATGATTCTTGCCTGGTCATTTCTTTCATATATTTGGTTGTAAAAATATTAGATAATTTGGTACGAGAGTGCTTAATTGTTACCAAAACTCAAAAAAAAGCAATAATATCGGAAATGCAAGATATATGGCTAGCTATATATAAACATAACATTTCTTTTTAATAACATAAAATAAATTGACATGAAAGTGATGCTCAAAACCAAAAGGCAAAACTGAATAAAATTTCACAAAAACCTATTTCATAAACTATATACATGTATAAACATGATTTATCCTATATTTAACCAAGCCAAACCTTTCTCCGGGTGTCTTTTCTCATCATATCTTTCATATTTGGTTATAAAGCTAACACATAATTTGGCATGAAAGTAATGATCAATTGTAACCAAAACTGCATAAAAGCCACAAAATTTAACATAACAACAGCTATATAATAATAATAATAAATAATAATAAAATCCGTTTATTGTCAGAAACATAGTAACCATTGAAATACATAGGGATAGAATAAAGTAAACATAATACATAATATGCTTCCGCAGACAATGGGAGCTGTCTCAGCTGCATGTTTCTCAGGACCGTGGCTCTGGGAAACGCTGGTTTTCAGACAGTCCCTTTTACAAATACTTAAAATAGGAGTAACATTATATCCTGCCCCTGCCACTATTATTATAATTATAATTAACAAACGTTGGAAAATAAGCAATTACAAATAAATGATGATAGCAAACTTTAAAAGAAAATGAAGTGAATTTAATCCTGACAGAAATAAAGATTATAATAGAAAATGCTAAAGTATGTACATGTACTCTTGCATGAGTGTGTGTGTGTGTATGTGAATGTGTGAGTGTGTATGTGAATGTGTGAATGTGTGCCTGAGTATATGTGTGCATGTGTATTTGTGTGAGATTGGAGAAGTAAGGGGGTAATCTTAATATTGCCAAAATTCTTTAAGCGGCAGAAATTTGTTGTATGCGTGTCTAACATTTTCTGCAGCATGTTGTTTTTTAAGCAAAAGTGGTTTTATATTTGCCTTTAAAAGACTCTGTATTACACTTTGTTCTAAGTGGTGGAGGGAGATCATTCCACATTTTTGCTGCAGAAAACCTAAAACAGCTTCTATATAATATATAAACATGTCTATCAAATATCTTTGTCTATCAAACCAAGACTAACCTTTCTCCAAAGCGTCTTCCCTGGCCATATGTTTCGCGTGTTGTTGTATCCCATGTCTCGTGACCGGCATCTTCTCCTCATCTCCTGTCTCCAGCCTCAACATCTTCATCACTCCGCCCGCGTACTGCGGCACAAACACCTCCCCACCTTTACTCTTGATGTGTTTGATGATTGGCGCCGTGTCAACCTCTGTAGGAGTGCTCATGAATATGGAGATCCTCTTCGCTGATTTATAATACGGATGGTTGATTAACTGGGAATAATTATTAGTATATAAAAAAAATTCTCTACACTTTTTTCTTTGGTCTATTTCTTTCTTTCTCTTCTTCTTAGTCTTTTATTAAATAAATCATTTACAATAAAAATGCATATGAATTTGTAGATTATTTTTCAATTAAGATATTGAAAAAATTTTCATTTATTATATTAGTTGTATAAATATATAGAAAAAATAAGTAATTAATAAATTTTACATTGCTATGTTTTTGGTAACTTTGGAAATAAAACTTCTAATTGATTGACGTAGAAGTATTTGCGAGTTTCATCATTGATCCAAGTAAATATTGATCAAATAAAATATAAATAATTTACAAACAGAAGTTACGATAACCTTTGATCACATCGAGTAATATTAAGTTATTTACGTCCATTAACTAAGAGATTAATTTTAATGACATCAAAATATTTTACTTCGTCCAAAACTTCTAAAATACACAAAATTCTGATAACGCAAGTAAACTTTCCCTTTAAATCATAATATTTAAGTAATCGAAAATCATCAACGATTAGTTTATTTTATACATATAATGATAATAATTAGTAACGGTACACTTCGACAAACTACAAACGAAACGTTTCCCCGTTTTTTATTTGCTAGCCTACGTTAATAATGTAAGGATATTATAAAGAAATACTTTAAACTGTCCGTATGATGAAACAAACTAGTGGTAAGTATTAAGAACTAACTCGTACCTTATTAAAAACAATATCAGATTGTCTTTTCTTTTCCTCGTCTGTGAGTGTTGTCAATTTCTTTTCAATCTCCTCCCTGATAGCTGCCTTCGCTGGACTTGGTACACGACTCATCTTGAACACTTTACTGGGAATAACATAAAAACACGACTTGTATACACAAAACTTGCTTTTATGTTTAATATTGAAATTCAAGAATACACATAATAGTATAGTAGGATACACATAGTAGGATAGTACAAACTAGTTAATTGTAGTTTATAGAAATATCTTCAATCTGGATTCTCTACTTAATTATATTTATTTGAATACATATATGTAATACACGAAATTAAAAGTTTTCTATTCCCCTGGACACTAACTATTATTGTTAATATGTATGTTGGAGCAAACACTAAAGGAATAGTCCAAATATTTGTTGGAACTATTTTTACTACTCAAATGCCACTTTAATAACGATGACAAAGTGTGTGATTATAATTATTCCAGAAATTCAAATAAGAAAACCTAAGAAATTCCAAAATAACTGTTAATTAAAAATTTCTAGCAAACTAATTAAATATGAAATATAATACCATTTCATATATTTTTATAACACATTTATATGTTATTATTATATTATAGTTCTAAAATTATAATACAATATCTTTTTAACAGTACATACTTCTTATTGTAACGCTTCATTCCTTGCAATGTTTTATAGTTAATAGTAGATTATTTATAATTAAAATTATACTTAATGGGCCTAAACATACCGACTCTGTTTACATATTTAATAACCATACGACGTTGATATTCAGAAACAAATTACGTTCGTAGCAAGTGTACTATTTAAATAACAAAGTTTAAGGCATTCATTAAGAACATTTTACAATAAATTGTATACAATATTTTGTAGCTCACCTATAACAATCCCTGATATTCCGTAACAACATCTACACACAGACTAGTTTATGATAATATAATTTTATCAACATGACATGTTTACCCATTTCATTGCTATACGTATCTGAGATCAAAAGATCACGTGTTTTACTGTATATTCGTTTCAACGCCATCTATTAGAATAAACACACACTTCTTAAATTTTAGGTAGCTTTCTTTGTACGTGCTACAAAAACTTAAAACTAGATGGCGCTAGTTATTGATATAAGTAAAATTAATTGAGGATATGAATATGTACTAACATTTAAATACATAGGTATGTACATACTTTTATAATATTATTTAAACTTATGATAATTGTAGTCCCTCGTCCAATCAGATTCATTGGCAGAAGAATTAGCCGGATAAAACACCATAATTTTATTTCATTTTATATTTTTGTTCTGTACTACATTAATTTTTTCTATCAAATCAAATACTTCTTTTTAGTATATTATATTCCAGATTATAGTATGTGTATCCCATAACATGAAAATTTACGTTTAGTTATAAACAGCGTTAATTAAAATACATACAAGGACGAAAATCGTGCAATAAAAAGTGCAACACCCCGTCGAAGGCCATATTAAACCGGTTTATTGGCGTTTTAATTTAATATGTTCAGGTAAATTATTTAGTTTTCCCAATAAACTCGGTGATCAATCTTACAGAAAAATAACCATTGAAGGTTTAAAACGATTTAAAGTCTATAAAAAGTTCAGAGCCGTTCATTATCGCCAAAACTAAATAAAACCATAAATCCTAGCACGATAAGCCGCTTAATACATTTCAATTTCGAATAGCGTCGTAATAGTTAAAAGTTTTACCAGTCCCTACTCTAAAACATAGCTGTTTCATAAACTAAGATATTCATGTAAGAATTTTAAAATACGTTCAATTCATTGCTACTTTATTGATTATTATAACTTGGTGTTATTTTTAGAGGTTATGTTTTATCGACCTATATATTTAATGGCTTTGCCTTGTATTATAAAGTAATAGTGATAAAATCGATGAGACGTCCAACTATCACCTGTTATAGGTTTTTGATGAGTTATGAATACGAGCTTATCCTATCCGACTAACCTTATCCTAAATTAAGATACAGATAAAAAATGTTTGCCTTTTATCTAATGAGGACGTGATTGTAATGTTTACATAATTTAGGAAAACCGTACTACGTAATATGGTGTCTAAATTTAGGAATGTTTTAGGTGTGTTGGTTGAAGTCTTTTTATACATATAGGTATATATACTTATATACAATACATACATACTGAAATTTTCTAAAAAAGTCTTTGATTATTTCATGTTTGTTATTTACTAGAGTTACAAAATATTCTCATCAACAGTGCCCATACAATACATATACGACTACCAATAAATGTATTTTGTTTGGTATGCTAGTTTAAAATATAAATTCGAACTATTTGTGAACAAAGGCATTGTGGCGTAAGATTAAATGTTCTTCCTGAATTTCGTTGGTGTTGTAAATTGTAGTGTCTTATAGATTTCCGCTCCACCGAGTGCTACTAGGCCGGCGGTGTATCAATAACTTTGGCAACATTAACCATATAAGAAATTTGTTATACTTTGCTAGAAGTAAACAAGAATATCATATAACGACTAAAATTTATAATGAGATCTAAGATTTTCGCGAGTATTCATCTAAATGAAACTAATATTTTTCGGATGTACTACGCGTTTTTATTTTAGATAAACAACTACCTACTTCCGCAGTTTCGGCTACTTTACAGCAACCGTGATCAAATCCGATCCGAAGTAATCCGAAGTACATCCGAAAAGTATTTGTTTCAATTAGACTAAAATTTATGGTAAACTATTTTTATAACATAAAAATATCCACATAGTATAAATGCTATAAATAGCAAATGTTGCCAGTGATAAGCCATGTTTCCGGTATATTTTGAGATTACAATGCTTTTATCTTAAGTGATAACACACTACACAATCTATTATTCTCGGCATCATTTATCGCCCTGGAGGCTGGAGACAATTTGTTACAGTCTTATAGGAGGAAATAGTGCTCTCATCACTAAATATATTTATTATATAATATATATATATTAATATTTTTTTATTCTGTCGTAATTATTCTGCCACCTTTGACAGTTTCATGACAGATGACGTTTCCATATTTTGACGTTAGAGTAACATCGTAAAAGTAACTAAAATAACAAACTTACAACTTTGTAATTAATTGCTTATTAATACTTCACTTCGTATGTGAAGTATTAGTATTGAAGTAGTTATTACTTTAAGTGGAATATTCATAACACGTAAGCAAGGCATGTAATGAAAAAGTAATGCATGCAATATTTCACAACGACTTAGTGCTCAAAGATAGCTTTTTCTATACAGTCGTTTGTTACAAATGCAAGAGGAAAAACTTCGAAATTCGAAACATTGGTTTGAAATCAGGTTGAAACAATTGTCAACACATATATTTAGTTTTAAGATCATGTATTGAGTTGTTATATGTTTTTTTATTATATGTTAAAACAGTAATAATAAACAGTGTTACTGAAGGTGTCAATTTGTCAAACCAAGTAATTGAATTAGCAACTTGGAAGGCGAGCGATGTGTGTCTCATTTGTCATTTTATGCATAGCAAATATGATGTGTATTTTAAAATATGTTTTTTATTACAAATAAAATCACTATTACCAAAATAGATTAATAGGTAATATTAATGTTTCCGAAGTCACGAATGAAAAGCAAATTCATATTAAGCGATGTTTTTTTTTATATAGTAGGTTACTTTTTCTTTTCAACTTGTTGACTGTAATTACGAGTATATAATAAAAGCTACAATCTAAAACGATCTTCATTGTCAAGAATTACAGAGGTTAGTAGGTTAGCGCATGGTGATTGAAATACATTTTCTGTTCACATTTTTATTTATCGAAAGAGTTTAGTTTCTTTATATTCGAAGAGCGGCATTTAGGATGAGTTTGTGCCCTCTGCCTGTATTGAAATCGACATGTGTTTTCTTGTACATTATTTAAAAGCTACAACATTTAGTAGAGTAATATATATTACCACATGAAATTAAGTTTGGTTATTACTTTGGAGGCCAAGCGTTGACCCAGTTGAGCGTTGAAATGGTGCTAAATTTTAATATTTTATACATATATAATATAGGGTTGGACGTGGTTAATTTCTTTTGTCATTGTTTGTATAGAGGTGTGGCGAGCAGCGAGCCGGTACTCAGTAGTCAGTAGTGACTAGCAACTCGGTATGTTTCTTCGTCTTTGTTTGAGTGTCCAGGGGGCGCTAGTGGCTGCCCTCGACTGTCGCCCGCGGCCCGAACGGCACCGCAGTACAACGCGATCGTTTTCAACGTTCGTACGTTAACCCACGTTTGTTATAACCAAAACTTTCTTACGTCAATTCAATGGATATAACCTAACACGCCGCGAGTGTTAAACTGTACGATGTAGAGTGATTATTATTATAAAATAATATGTTGTTCTAAACGAGTATCGTGTGTTCAATTATGTAAATAGTGTAGTGTGGAGATATGAGTATACAAAAGTGCCTTCTGGATAACTCCAGTAGGATGATCAAAGCTATGTCAACTGCGAAATCATCAAACAATGAAGTCAAAACGGTTAGTTTAATATATAAACATGCAGTTACTCGGTAGAGTTAATTCTTAGGTTATCTTTGACGTTTAAGGTTAATGTTAACTTGGTTATTTTGCGCGTTCATTTTGTTTTCTATTATTTATATACGTGTGTAAACGTAATGAGCATTTATTGATATATTTATATGAGCATTTAAAAAGTTGATATATATTTTTTTATGATGCAACTGTATTATTCAACTTTTCTGTTTCCGTCTCTAACTTGTTTTGAATTTGATATTTAAAGAACATAAAATAAATTACGAAATGATTCCTAATTGTGTTGAAAATAAAGTTTAAATTCCAATGATTTTTGAATATACTAAAATTATGTTCATTATTGACATTCATATAGTAGAGATATAGGTTTGAAATATTTATTTTTCAAAGTGAATACATATTGAAACCGATTTAAAATTGTATCCATTTATTTAACACGTGTTAGTACTCGGCTTTTTAACATGTTAATGTTAAATGTTCTAATTTTATAAAAATTCAGATCAAAGGAAGTTTTGTTCCGATGGTTGTACCGACATTAAAG